CGCCCACCGCTCCTGTCCGCGCCGCGTGGCTTCTTCCTCTCCGCCTCCGCGGGATCTGCAGCTTGACGAGCTCACGGCTCACCCCCACCGGCCCCTTTGGCGCGTCTTCCCAGCCATCTCTTGGCGGAGCCTCTGCTCGCTTCCAGGGCAGGTTTGTGACGGCCCTTCGTGTGGGTTGGAGGCTGCCTTTCTGGGCCTGGGCACCTGGAGGCCGGCCGGCAGGGCCAAAAATTTTCCTCGAGTGTGAAGACGCTGTCTTCCTGTGCATGTGTGTGTCGGAAAGCCTCATGACAGCCTGACTCACTTTCCTCCTAGACATTGGGATGTCCCAACCGAAGGCCGGGCGGATTTCAAAAAATGCTTAAACTCGGTAGTTATAGTACGATGCGAAGGACCCAAAGGAAACCAGAACTACCTTCCGGGGGCTGGGCCCCTTGTGGTTCAGACCTCCTTCGTTAGGCCCGTGTTCTCGGAACCCCGGGCCGTAGTGTACCCGCTCGCTGTGCTGTTGGAGGCTGCGTTGGGCTCCAGCGGATTTTGGGGAGCTTTTTCAACGTGCTTGCGCATTTCATGATGGGCGATTTACACAAACCACGTGCGACAGTCAAATTCTGATCAGAAACCGCGTGATGCCCGAGCCCGGCCCTCCCTATTCACCTGCTCTCGCCTCAAGCGAAAAAGTGTCCCCGAAGGGCAACATTTTGCTGAGGTGGAAGAGGCGACACTGAAACCGGCAGAAGCACCACAAGGCATCAGAATTGGCGAGTTGAAAACCTGCTTTGAGCAGTGGAAAAAGTGTCCCCACTTTGAAGGTGATTCAGGCTTAAACATGTAAGAATAAACACACCATTTTTTTTTTTTGAGTCGGAGTCTCACTCTGTCGCCCAGACTGGAGTGCAGCGGCCGCTCCCGGCCACCGCAGCCTCGACCTGCTGGGCTCCGGCGATCCTTCCGCCTCAGCCTTCCAAGGAGCTGGAACTACAGGCGTGCGCCACCACGCCCGGCTAATTTTTGATTTATTGTAGAGATGAGGTCTCGCCAAGTTGCCCAGGCGGGTCTCAAACCCGCGGGCTCAAGTAATCCACTCACCCCAGCCTCCCAAAGCGCTGGGATGACAGGCTGAGCCACTGAGCCTGGCACCTTTTTTTAAATAAACAAATTCTGGGGTTTTTGGTCTCTCCACGTATGTCTGCTTATACCCCAGCACTTTTCCTAATGAATTGGGCCCTAGAGTAGATCAACTCCAGGGGCTTTTTCATCTTCTAAGTGGCCACCACCTTCTGCCTCAGGTGAGGGACAATCCCCAGTCAAGAGAGCCACCACGCTGGCCGGGGATCGAGAAGGCTGAGTGTCAAGCTTCTGATCCAGGGTGTTCTTTCACGTCTGCAGATGCTTATTTCGTGATGCTTACTTCACATTGTGTGGCTGTAGGTCTCTTTTCCTGGCTGTTTTCTAGGGAAACAGTTTCATCAGCTAAATATTTTGTTTCTCACTATTTAACTGTATTTGCATGTTACCTGCCAGTTTTTGTGTGTTTTGAAATATTTGTGTTTTCTTGGACAGAGATAATAGATATTTCTATATAAGCTTAACAGACTAGAAAGTCCAGAATGTGATTCATTTGGAGTATCTGTGGTAAAAACGTTCTTTTTTTTTTTTTGAGTTGTAAACTCACTCTGTTGCCCCGCTGGAGTGCTCATGGCCACTGCAGCCTCGACCTTCTGGGCTCAGGCAGTCCTTCCGCCTCAACTTTCCAAGAAACTGGAACCACAGGCATGTGCTACCACACCCAGCTAAATCTCAACAAGTTGCCTAGGCTGGTCTCGAACCCCTGGACTCAGACACTCCTCTCTCCTCCCCCTCCAAAGTGTTGGGATTACAGGCATGAGCCACTGTGCCCAGCAAGATGTTCCTTTTAAAGAGTAGGTCAAGGGCAGGCTATTCAAGTAATAGGACACTTAGGGAAAGCAAAAACCAGCTACTCCCATCTGACTGTTTATAATGTAAACGGCAAAGGCAAAGTTATAAAATTAATTATCTAAAGACTATATGAGTAGTTTTAAAAATTAACCTGGGAGTTGAGTGTAGTGGGCGCACCTGTAGTCCCAGCTACTCAGGAGGTTCAGGTGACAGGATCACTAGAGCCCAGGAATTTGAGGCTGCAGTGTGCAGCCTGGGTAACACAGCAAGACTCTGTCTCTAAAAAAAAAAGAAAGAAAAAAAGTTGTTCAAGTCCTTGCTAAATAAGGCAGGCAAAACCCAGAATCAGAAGATACACGAATTTTATTTACTGCAAAAGTTAAAGACATCTGACCCGTGAAAGACAGTATTATAGAATTAAGACGTGAAAAATTATGAAAAAACACCATATCTTATTTAATAAAATATTTATATTAGACCATATAAAGAGTAAAAATCCAGTAGGAAAATAGGTAGATACGAGTAGAAGGAAATGTGTGAAGTTAACGTCCATCAGGACGACAGGCAGGAAGCAACTGAAGGGGAATGTCCACTGATGGGGGAAGATTTCCAAGGAGCTTTCAGAAACACGAAACACAAAAGGCAGGTTGTACAACGGCACTCCTGCGGGATCGGGTGTGCCCGTGCCGGTGGAGGGTCACATGCCAGTTTCTGCAGGAAGGAGAGGCTTT